ATTATTAATAGAAGATAAAATTATTTTATTTTACATAATTCAAAAAAATGGTCACCTCATAAGTTATTATTAGTCAAGTAATAATAAATGTGTCATTTAATAAGGGTATGGTTGAGTTAATTAAAATATGTGTCATTTAATTAGATTAAGCTTTTAATTATCCTAAAATTTAATTTATATGTGAAAATTTTAAATTAATTTTATCATATGAAAAGTCATGTCTTTTTTCTAAAAGCACGAAAAAATCTCTTCATTTTGCATTCACACTATATAAAATCAATCGTGTAGATAACTTGTGTTGTTTTCTTTTATTTTAGTTGTCTTCTTTCACGGGATAAATATTATTATCATTTATTTTAAAAAATACTTTTAAATCTTATGATGTTAATTTAAATATGTTCATGATATAATAAAATGTATTTTAAATCTAGAAGTAAACTAAAATATTAATGGAAGATAAAAAAATATTTTTTACATAATTCATTAAAAATAATAGCCTTTGAAAATGAAAGTGAAAGAATTGTTTTAGTATATTGATTTTGAATTATAATTTAAAATTAGGTTGAAATTTACCACGCGACATTAAAAAAATTTAACAATTTTTTATTTTTTAAAAAATGGTAAGAACTATAATCAAGATAGTAAGTTGTTTGCTATTTGAAAATTGTAAGTTCTTAATTTGTTTCAAGAGAGAATAAATTATGTTAATTAGAATTGACTGAATAATGTATTATGTTATTATTAACATATTTGACAAATGAAAAAGAAATATTCACATAAAAAGACTCATCATTAGATAAGTCATTATGAATCACATAAATAATTTTGTTCACTATGATTGTATTATAATGAAAAAAGGTCAATATGATTGTGAATTCGTCGCTTGGTTACAATAGTGATATTTTGAAGTATAAGAAAATATTCTCTTTCGAGCAAGTTGTCATGTGAGAATGAATGTATTGGTTAATGCAAATGAACAAATTCTAACAGGGGGATTCACATGAAAAAAAACATGTTGACGGTTAGGCGATCACGAATAACGTGATGATGATATGTCGTTTAGTAAGGTGGATAATATTAGACAAGTGGAAAGAAAGTATTCACACGAAAAAGATCAATCGTAAGATAATTTATCATAAGGCACATGTGTTTGCAACAAATTTTAAAGTGACAGAAAATAAATTACAATCACAAAAAAACATAAAGAAACATAGTTTTATTGATAAACATCGCGGGTACAAATCTGTTCCTCCCTTGATTCTTCTGATACTTCAGTTTCTTAAGATTTCTCCATGATTCGAGGGTCATTAGTGACATATTTCTCAAACTAGGAGGATTGAATTTGATCTCTTTATGAATATTTCATGAATTTGCGGAACATTCGAGATGTCTCTCAAAGGGAATATTTTATATAGGCATGAACTAGATAGTATGGTTCAATAGCCAATAAAAATCCTAATTGGAATTGAACACATATTGTAAAATCTCAACTCGAATTGAACACCTCTTGCAGATTTTCACAAAAATTCAATGTCTAAAAATGTCCCCTGCTTTAAGGCTTGTCGGAGTGTAGACTTGATGAAACTCAAAAACGAGGACAGGGCTTGAAGTACTTATTCTTCCACCTTTGCAGTTTTGTGACTTCAAATTTGCATAATTGATCTATGAGAGAAAAGATGAAGGACATATTTAGCCCAATTGGGCGTGACAATTTGTCTACAATAAATTTTAAAGTGACAGAAAATAAATTACAATCATAAAAAAATATAAAGAAACATAGGTTTATTGATAAACATAATGGGCATAAATTTGTTCCTCCCTTGACTCTTCTGATTCTTTTGTCTCTTAAGATTTCTCTATGATTCGAGGGTTGTTAGTGACGTATTTCTCGAACTATGATGATTTGAATTTGATCTCTTTGTGAATATTTCATGAATTTATGAAATATTCAAGATGCCTCTTAAAGGGAATATAGTACCCTTTATATAGGCATGAACTAGGGTTTAGGGTTGAGTAACCTCCAAGGATCCTAATTGGAATTGAACACATACTTTAGAGTCCCAACTCGAATTGAACACATCTTATAGAGTTCCACAAAATTTCAATGTCTACAATGTGAAAATGAACGAATTGGTTAATGAAAATGAAAAAAATTTGACCAGGAGATTCACACGAGAAAAAACATGTTGATAGCTAGGCAATCACTAATAACATGATAATGATATGCCATTAGGTGGGATAATACTTGACACGAGAAATATTTGTCACCAAGTAATCTATCACAAATCATGTGATAATGAGTGTGCCATTTAATGATATTAGGGTGATATTTGTTAGGTTGTAAAAAAATTTCACACAAAAAAGATTTATCACTATAAGTTATTATGATTCACACAATAACGAATATATGTCGTTTAATGAGTGTGGGGTGATATTTGATAGATGGAAGAAAAATATTCACGCAAAACCATCACCAAATAAGTTAGCATTAGTCCAGTAATAATAAATGTGTCATTTAATGAGGGTCGAGTTGAGTTAATTAGGATATGTGTCATTTAATTAGATTAAAGTGACTAATTAAAAGCTTAATCATCCTAAAATTTAATTCGCATGTGATATTTTTGAACCTACTTTATCATAGAAAAAGTCATCTTCCTTTTTTTTTGGTCAGAAGTCATCTCTTTTCTAAAAGAGCCGGAATAAAACATGTACATAATTTAAGGAGTAGTTCTTTCCTTTTATTTTAGTTGTCTTCATTCCGCTGAATACATATTATTATTATTTTTAAAATTACTTTTAAATCTTATGATGTTAATATAAATATGATTATGATATTATAAAATGTCTTTTAAATCTAGAAGACCAACTATTAATGGATGATAAAATTATTTGATTTTTCATAATTCGTGAAAAAATTTGACATTTAAAAATGAAAGTGAAAGAACTGGTTTGATATGTTGATTTTGAATTTTAATTTGAAGTTAGATTACGTGACATTAAAAAATTTAACAATATTTTTCTTCACAATTTTTTTTGTAAGAGCTAGAATCACGTAAAAAGATTCATCACTAGAGAAGTTATTATGAATCGCATAGATAATTTTGTCTACTATGATTTTATTATAGAAAAAGGGTCAATGTGATTGTGAATTGTCGTTTTATTATAGTAGTGGTACTTGAGAGATATAAGAAAAGATTCTCGTAAATTGTCACATTGAAACGAGCGTATTGATTAATGAAAATGAAAAAAATTGGCTAGGGGATTCACTCGAGAAAAAAATATGTTGACATTTAGGTGACCATGAATAACGTGATGATGATATGCCATTTAGTAATGTGGGATAATATTTGACAAGTGGAAAAAAAGTAATCATACGAAAAAGATCAATCATCAAATAATTTATCATAAGTCACGTGAAAATGAACGTATTGGTTAATGAAAATGAAAAAAAATTGTCAGGAGGATTCACACGAGAAAAACATGTTGACATCTAAGCAATTGCGAATAATCTGATAATGATATGTCCTTTAATAAGATGAATTAATATTTGACAAGAGGAAAAAATACTCACATAAAAAAGATCAAACATTATAAGTCACGTGAGAATGAATACGTATTTTAATGAGGTAGGGTCATATTTTCGTGGGATCTACACGGTAGAGATTAATCGCCAGATAATCTATCATGAATCATGTAAAATAAATAAATAAAAAATTGTGCAAAAATAAACTATAAATAAAAACACACGCAAAAATTATGTAATAAAATGTAAAAAATGATACATAAAAAATTGTGCAAAAATATAATAAGATGTGCAAAATTTGTGCAGAAACTATGCATAAGTAGTGCAAAAATTACAAAAATAGTGCAGAAATTATGTAAAAAAAATGCAATTTTCCAAGAAGGTTCAAAGGTAATCTTGAATTAACCTCATGCTTCCTATAGTAATCTTCAAATAATATATAATACTCTCTATGTCCTAATTTACATGACACTCATGGAATTTGAAGAATCAATCTTGAATTAACCTTATGCTATAATTGTGCATACTGTGAACTGTTTCAGAGCTATTTCTGTGTCCTTGAAGGCACCAAACTCGAATGTATATGCACCCCTTGTTGCCTTGGAGGTCAATGGAGCCCCTCAAATGTATCTTTTTGCTGTAAATAAACACGGTAGGGGTCTACGCCATACCCTCCACTACCACGGGAGGTGAAAGCCCGAGCAGATGGATTTTATATAAAATAAAAAATGATCAACCAACCATTGCACTATATCGTCAAGAGATTAAGAATCAGTTCTTTACATATCAAAAGAACTGATTTTCTCAAGCAGATGAATTCATAACAGCAGATACATTTCAGAAAAAATAAAATATTACGTTTGGCCAAGTGTATACTTCAAATTTGGCCTCTAAGAAACTAACTAGAATGTACACTGCCATGCCAAAAACCATATTGCCAAATCTGATCTTTTTTGCATATGCAATTTAGGGGACTCACTCAGTCTATACTCTATAGAGTTCAAAAGTCACAGCTCATATCCGTTAAACAACAAGCGTTTATTCAGTTAGTTTCAGGTCATTGTTATCTCTCAAAAGCTAGTGAATCTTTAACAGTTTTTATGATGCAGCAAATTTCCGCTCAACTAAACCTGAGACTCAGGTCGAAGATAACTAGAAGTACTCATGAAAAGGGTCATATTCACATAAACTCAGAAATGGAGTCATTGGCTATTGGATTCCTGCACCATACAAGAAGAACTCGAGATAAGTTCTCGTATCACAATACATTAATATAATCTAGTTGGAAGGAGATGGTTAGAAGTTCTGCATTAGATAGTATGATTAATCTAAAGAGTGTTAAGGGTTACATTTTTTTAACTTGTTTATAGCCATAAATTACAAGATCAAATTTCCTCAACTACGTTCATTAAGTCAACATACTACAAAAAGTTCATTAAAGAATGGAGGAGTGAAAATGAAGGCAATGATCAAATCATGCTAAAATTCATAGAAGCAAGGGGGTCAAACAAATTGCTATACACAAGCCACAGGAAATCCTCAACTAATAAAAGATTCAACAAACTGAGGCAGCATGCAGAAAGTTTCACTAACATAAAGAAATCAGCTAACTAATTAAAACATTAAAATCCTAAAATCACACTTCAATTAAGTCAGAAGTATGGCCTAAGACTGATTTGCTGAGAAGCAAAAGAGCAATTTTTCTTCAGTTGTCAATGCAGCAGTGACATGACTTCAGAATCTTCATGGAGAAATGACATGGCTTCTAATTCTGCTCGAGCGCCTTACAGGGGTGATGACTTCTTCTCCTCCACTTGCCTAAAATTTCACAAGGAAAAAGCAGAAAATATATCAGTAAGAGAACAGATTTGGGTATTTAAATCCAGAAAATATATACTAAGTCATAACACTCACATGCTTGATAGGAATCCTCTCATATGTAGTGAAACTTCCATAAGAAGGTGAACCCATTGAGAACTCAGATGCGGTCAAGGACTCTCTTTTGTTACTCTTCCTCGGTTTCTTCTCAATGCTTTGAGCCTCATCATTCTCTGATTTGGGGTCTTTCTTGCTATAAGATGAACTTATCTGAAAGCTGCTCATTTCTGAGGGACAAGACTCTCCTGCGACATCGACTTCTGTGGGCCAATTTTGAGAGGAATGCTTCTCCTTGACAATATGGTGTGTTGCAAATTTCTTACTTGAGACTTGATCAGCACGAACTACTACTGGATGCATAGTCTTATCACTTCTCTTCACATAGAAAACTGTAGCAGCAAGCAAACTCAGTGCAAGTGAGGAAATTCCCAGTATCTGATATGCTCCAGCATTATCTCCATCATTTCTATCAATTGGAGACTGCATCATTTCCAAAGTTTGGACATCTTCGACAGCAGAATCATCTTTCACCAAGGTTTCAGGATTGTCATTCACCGACTCAAATGCAGCATCAGTACTGATAGCATTATCAACAATGTATACGGATTCAGCCAACTCAAACTGAACATTAGAAGTTGTAAGCCCTTGATCTAAATCCCTTTCTGAAATATTGGCTTCATTCTCCTCAGCTATGACAACAGAGACTTCTTCAGTCTCCACCAAGTCATGCTGACCTTGTTCTAAATCCTTTTCTAAGCTATCAGACTCATTTACTTCAGCTAATTGAATTGTGGAAGCTTCTTCAATCTCCAACTCATGCGCTTCTTCAATTTCCAATTCATCACCATCATCTAAATCAGCTTTCATTTGAAACTCTTCCTCGTCAGGCTCAGTTTCAGACTCTTCATCATCCTCTTCCAATTCAATTGGTTCAATCTCTATATCCAATTCCTCACTACTAGTACTACCTTTCAAATATCCATATATGCTGCTACTCTCTCCTAGATCAGTCAAGTTCGCAAATTTTAAAGGCTGTGGGTAATCTACCCTACCGAGGTCATTAATCAACTTTGAGAAATAAGAAATGGCTTCACCTGAATATTGCTTAAAGTAACTATTAGCCTTAGCCAAGACTGGAATATCTGATGGTATGCTGAGATTAGAGAAACTTAAGTCTACAGTCCCGGGAGTAGCAAGTATAGGAGAATCAGTAACTGATATTGATAAGAAGGCAATTACTAGTACCAACAGCAGAGAAAAGAACTTTGATATTGTTAAAGACCTTGGTTTTGCTCTCATTTTTGCTTCAGAAATGTCCTCAGCAACAGGTAGTGCAGGTTCAGCAATTTCCTCAGCAACAGGTATTGCAGCAACAGAAACTTTAGGCCCCTCTTCCTCTTCTTGATCAACTGTTGCTTCAATTATCATCTCTTCTGAAGAAGAACCATCAGATTCTTTCAGTGAATCTTCAGTTAGAGAACTTTCACTGCCATCTATGTCTGACAAGTTTTCAGACAGTAACTCCGACAAGAAGATGTCATCTAGCTTCTTTGCTTCTCCTGCATCCATTCCTTTTCCCTTATTGAGTAAAACTTCAATCATTGGGTTGGGTTTGTAGTGAAGAAACTGAGGCCTTGGAGATAGGTAATTGGTTTTAGGGTCATATGGAGGTAAAGAGGGATCAGCATCAAGTGGGGCTATTGCAGGAGAAACCAGTGGTTCATCATTGCAAATGTCAGAATCCATGGTTACAGTATCAGAAAGGGATTCAGATGCATTGTTGCAATTTGAAGGTGCCTCGGAAAATGTTACCTTTTTCGGCGCTTTGGTAACTGGAGGAAGACCTTCAACATGAACAATCTCTTTAGGCTCCATAACATTCTCAAAAGATTTTTCAGAGTTTTGATTATGTTCTTCAGAATTTGAAGAAAAGAATGTAGCTCTACCGTCAGAGAAGGTGATTGAAGTCCTAACAGGATCGTTTCTTTCCACCAAGATTTTCTTTTTAGGGGATTGAGCAATCTTGGAAGAAGCTGAAATAGTCGGAGACATGAAATTCTTTGAACCCTTTGCCGGTGATTTCAGTTTCGTTGCTTTAGATTCATTCTCCTTCTCTTCATTACCCCATGATAAACCCTCTTTCCCTGGATTAGACACCCTTCTCGCCGAATCTGCAAAACCACAACAAATCAAGAAAACAACGAAGTAAATTAAGAAATCTTGAAACAATTTTTGACATTACAAATCAAGAAATTTGAGTAAAAGTACCAGCAGGGCTATTTGCAGGAGTAACAGGGTTATAAAATCCTCTATGGGTTGAAAGAACTGAAGGTCGAGAAAAAGGGTTGCCGGTGAAACTTCTTCTAGTGTTTTCAGAGGTTCTTGAATGAGGAGGAGGAACGGGTCTTGCAGAAAGTGGAGAAGGAGATTTGTTAGAAGAAACCGCCATTGATGATAATAAGGAAACCAAGAAAGGTAAGAAAATCGTGTGCAGAGAATAGTTAAAGAAACTGAGAGAAAGGAAACTCAAGTAATTGAGAAGATCTTGGAGGATTTTGACTTGATGAAGATGCTGTAAATCTTTGTAACGGCTAGTTTTGAAGAAGGGGATTTAGGTATTTGAATTCTGCAATTTTTATGACCGTTGGAGTGAAAAACGATCAAAGCAGTTACTTTTGGATGATTGCATCCTTTTTTTTTTTTCTTTATTCGCCCATAAAAGTGGGTTTTGAATTAAAGATAACAATTTTTTTATTTATTTAATAGAGCCTTAGAAAAATTATTTTCGCACTCATATCAATTAATAAAATGTAATAGTAATTAACTGTCTTTTTTTCTTTGTGGACCGATAAAAGTAAATTTTGAATTAAAGATAACAAACTGTGATTCAATAGAGTCTCGAAAAAAATAATTTCGCAATCATATCAATTATGTAATTGTAATTAACTGCTATCTTCTTTTTTCTTTATTGGCCGATAAAAATGAATTTTGAATTAAAGATAACAAACTTTGATTCAATAGAGCCTCAAAAAAATTGTTTTCGCAATTATATCAATTAAAATGTAATTGTAATAACTGTTCTCTTTTTTTTCTTTATTGATAGAGAAAAGTGAATTTCGAATTAAAGAATAGAGTCTCAAAAAAATATTTTCGCAATCATATCAATTAAAATGTAATTGTAATTAACTGCTATCTTATTTTTCTTTATTGGGCGATAAAAGTGGATTTTGAATTAAAGATACCAAACTTTGATTCAATAGAACCTCGAAAAATTATTTTAAGCAATCATATCAATTAAAATGTAATTGTAATGACTGCTATCTTTTTTTTCTTTATTGATCGATAAAAGTGAATTTTGAATTAAAGATAACAACTTTGATTTAATAGAGCCTCGAAAAAAATATTTTTACAATCATATCAATTAAAATGTAATTGTAATTAACTCTATTATTATTAATAGCATTGATGATTGGATATCTAAAGTTAAAAAAATGATAAGTACTAATATGTATAACCTCTTAAATTATATTAATACCCGAACCTTTATGTGTTACAAAAAACTTACCTAATATAGTCATAACATTAGGGAGTTCGGGTTGGGATGGTTGCAATTCAAATGGGTCTTTGCATCGAGTTCAACCGGTATTAATATTCTTATTTCATGATATTTGTATAGATGTAAATATTGTTTAAAACGTGTAAATATAAAAACCATATTACTAGGAATACATTAATAATAAATATTTTTTTTCTCAATTGTACATGCAGTCCATCCAATTTTATCTCTTTTTATACCGTTTATATGGGTGGGGTCCGTTGAATCGACTCGACCCAATTCATAATTTAATTTAGATTGGACAAAATTTCTTTAGAGCCCATTAGAAATAAGCCTTTCTAACTCGGCCCAAGTGAGCATGTCGGGTCATAATGAGGCTTGAGTAATGTGAATCGGGCGGGCCATGGGTCATAATAAAATGATTTAAAAAATAAAGCTAATGTAGAATAGAAGAATGGAAAATTCACCCCACATATCTATTTAAGGCTTAATATTACAACCTTTAGATGTACTTTTTTTATATTACTACTTATAACAGTTTAATTATAAGTATTAACAGATTAGTTTTAATCTATAATTTAATTAATTAGTTATTATTTTTATAATTACCTTACAATTAATAAGTAAGAGAAATAAGATAATCAATTGTCATTATCTCTTACATCATTTTAGGGATAGCATTAATAGAGAATCAATAGCCATTATCTCTTACACCATTTTAGAGAAAAATTTTCCAGTTTTCACACCCCCATCCCCACATTCCTCTTTTACATAGAACTATTTTTTTTTCTCTCACCATTTTCAACATTCGTCTTCTTCATTAAAAAAGAAAATCAACAGAACTCACGATTGAGCCCCATGAATGTGGTAGGAAAAAAATAAGATAACATACTTTTCTTTCTGTATGAATTTTTTGTTATGTTTGATAATTGGAAGAAGCGAATGCTTACTTGTGCCCCACTAGAAGTGGATCTATATTTGTTTTAAAATTAGCACATGTTTTAAAAATTATATGTGCAGGAAAGAATGTCAGATATGAATTTTGTTTTTTCTTTCTATTCTTTTGTTCTCTCTATCAACTCTTTTGTTGTCGGTAGCAGGCAACTCGAGAAGAGGCGTTGGCCAAGGTTTCTGCTCTTGAACTAGAGATAAGTGTTGCAATGCCAACAAATAATGAAATTCCGGTAAAAGATGCTTCTTCTAAGTCAAAGAATAGTCAAGCAAAGAAAACAGTTAGTCATGCAAATCAAAAGGGAAAATAAAGGAGCGTGAAAATTGTAGAAGCGACTCATTCTGTTTCGGATTCAGATTCAGATTTCGTAAGTGAGATTAAAAAGAAAAAAACAAAAAAGCAACAAATGTCGAAATTGGTCAGTCTTCAAAACCAATCAACAAGAAGAAGAACAAGGAAGCAGGACTCAGAAATTCCAATTTCAAAAAGAGGCAAAAAAGTGTTAGGATAAGTATTTTATTTAATTTATTTTTGAATTATTCAATTTAGTATTTTTTGTGTTAAAAATATTGTATTATGATTAATGTTGTTACGAAACTTATATTGATGTGAAAACTGTACGAAATTTGAATAATATTTGTATGAATATGACATTAATATATGATATATGAATACTGTATGAAATGTGATAGAATGTTGGTATTCAACTAGTATGAAGTGTTATTTGATATTGGTATGAAATTGGTTTGATATCAGTAGCCCAATTAGTTGATTTTAGTGTCGTTTGTTAAATGCCACAGTGCACATGAAATCTGGTATGATGTTTGAATAATATTGATGTGTAATTTTTTCAAATATGGTATACTGTTTTATTAAAATTTATGTACATGAATATGGAATGAAACATGAATAATATTGGTATGAACTGAATTTTATATATAGTGTATGAATGTTGATATGAAAGTGATTTAATTTTTGTACAAATTATGTGAAATAATTAATTTATAACTACTTATAAAATGAAGTTGGTATCGGAATGAAACATGAATATTGTTGGTAGGTTGGCAAATTCATTTGAGATCTCAATTACATGTTTTTTCAATTTTTCCAATGGGATATCAGTTCGATACCAAGTGTACACCAATTGGGTACAAATTAACTAGTTTTAGGTTGGCTATTTTAGTTGAAATCTCAATTACATGTTTTATTTCAATTTTTCCAATTGGATATCAATTAGATACCAAATGTATACCAATTGGGTATAAAATTAACTAGTTTTAGGTTGAACTAATTTAGTTGAAATCTCAATTACTAAGTTTTTTTTTTCAATTTTATCACTGGGACATCAGTTAGATACCAAATGTATACCAATTGGGTATAAAATTAACTAGTTTTAGGTTGTCTAATTCGGTTGAAATCTTAATTACATGCCTTTTAAAAAAAAAATCCAATGGGATATCAATTCGATACTAAATGTATACAAATTAGATGCAACATTAACTAGTTTTAGGTTGGCTATTTTAGTTGAAATCTCAATTACAAGTTTTTTTTTTCAATTTTATCACTGGGACATCAGTTAGATACCAAATGTATACCAATTTCATACTAAGATTTGAATTTTCAGTTGATATCAATTGCATACCATCATTATCTAGTTTTTTACTATACATTTGAAAAACACTTAATACACAAATGATTAACTAGTACACATAATAAATATTCTGAAATTATAATTCATTAACTTAAAAGACAAAATAAATCAAAACATGAGTTTGTCACATTAAAACAACCAAAACAAAATAAAAATAAATATGTCTTTTTTTTCCAGCAAGGTAATTTAAAATGTCTTCTTGTTGTATCCCTCCCGACGACATGTACTGTACGTAACCTTAGACCTCTTGCATTTCACATCAGCAAATCCTTTCCAACGTTCATGTTGTGGTCTCCCTACAATTCTTTTTGAACCAGACGACAATAATTTATGCTCCGACACTTTTTGAATTGCATATTTTCCAGTTCCATCATAAATTATTGTGTTAGTATTGCAGGATACAAAAGTACAAAAAAACTTTATAAAACTATATATAATATGATAATACGCACTGAAACAATATTTTTTTTGTATCAATTTATGCTCCGACACTTTTTGAAT